CAGTTTTTAGACATGTAATACATGTTCGTTGTGGAAAATATTTTGAAAAACCACCCAGGATCCATTAAAATTAGAAGTGTCTGATGGGGACAGCCACATATGGCTGCACAGTTTGTACACAGAACAGCCACGTTTGGTGGCCCCGGGCTGGCGACAGGGTTGAACAGGAAATTCCAGGCTGTCTGGAACGTGCTGCCTGCGTCCCCACTGGCCAGAGCTGAGGTCCCCATGTGGGGACGAGGAGCGTGCAAAGGCAGGATGGGCCTAGCTCACAGGGCTTCACTGCCCACCAGCCATCTCCCCTCGATGTGGGGGAGGGGGGGACCTGTTGCAGATATTTTAGAACCAGAGTTGTGGGACTCAGTGGTGCCCCAGAGAGTTGATGGAGTAAAGCTGCATTTTTAAAATCTTCCTGTGTTTTCCTCTTAGAACGTCAGTGCATGAGTGGGGAAAAGTTTCTTAAAATAATATTTCTACCTTTTCCCTGTACCAGTCCCTAGCACAGTGTCTCCTGATGAGCTGTTTGTTGAGTGACAAAGGGAAGGTGGTGACTTTAAACATGTTCCCGGGAAGGTGCACATGCGAGATTCACACATCCCAAGGCTAGAGGTGCGACTTACAAAGCCGCCGGGTGGAGGGCCGGGGTCCCTCTGTTGCCAAGGAAAATGTTAAAGATGTCGGTGAGAGAAGGGGCCCTGGCGTAAAGATGAGGGCCAGATGCTCTGAGGCAGGGGTCCTCAAACTTTGTAAACACGGGGCCAGTTCACTGTCCCCCAGACCGTTGAGGGCCGTTGGAGAGTGCGGGCACATTCCACACATGCGCACTGTGGGCCCGGGACGAGTCGGCTGCTAAGCAGGACCGGCAGCGGCGGCAAAAACACTGGGTGGGCCGGATAAATGTCTTCGGCGGGCCGCATGTGGCCAGCAGGCCGCAGTTTGAGGACCCCTGCGAGTCTGAGAGAAGGATTCTGCTGGGAAATGGAGGAGTTCCCGCCTTGAGGCAGCAGTGGAAGAGAAGGCTGGTGGAATGGAAAGGGATTTGGAGTTGGGGGGCGGCGGAACTGCATGCAGTGGAGGGAGGCGCCTCGTGGTGGCCCTGGGGTGACACCCCACTCACGTGGAGGGAAGGAGAAGTGGGCAGTATCCCCAGGACCAAGAGCCGTTCCCCAGTGCTAACACCGTCTTGTCTTTCTTTTGGGGTTCAGGGGTTGTGACAAGAAAGAATATTATTGGAATTCTTTCTTTTTTTGTTGTTGAAATTCCAGGAAGCCAATTCTTGCATTCTTAAATCTCCCATGGTTAAAAACAGAATGTTTTCAAATTAAGAATCTTTCCGAGTGACCA